ATCATTTAGAATGCTGTAAACACAGATCATACTGTAATCAAAAAGAGGTGCCCATGTAGGTGTTTACCAACCTGATCCATATGGCAGGAAGAAGCTGTAAGAAGATACAGTTTATCAAATCAAGTTCTTAAATCCTAGCTAGCAAATTCAGCATTACTCATAAACAGTGAATTACTCTTACAGATGTTTGCCTATGAAATTATCAACTACAGAAGGTGCTTTGCTAGGAAACACAATCTGTTCAGCATCGAGTCTAAGGGAAGTATGTTATCTACATTTTTGACTCTAGAACGGATTTAATTGATAGTTTATTGACATTTTAAATAAATTATTTCTAGGGACAAATAAATCATACTATTGAAGAACAAATAATCACTGAACATCCATCCTTAGCTAGTAGCATTTAGAGTATGTGACACTTCTTGGTTTATCTCTTCCAGAAACGATGATTCTAGGACCCATAAAACCCCATGGAGCTCAAAAATGAAGTTGCTGGTGGTGCCCATATTATTACATAAGAACAGCCTAGGAATCCCTCATATAATAGATGAATTATAACTGCAAAACACCATCACTGGGGCCAGAGCTATTATTATTTTTCATTTCTGATTGCACTTGAGAGTAGCCTGAATCCAAAGAGTAAATAGCATGCTGACAGAAGCAAGTATGCAAGCTGGGCTGCACCACACAGATTGCTATAAGCTTCTGATTTGAAAAGTTTATGATAAGCAATAATATGCTTGACAAGTAACAATGACACCTGATTTTTTTTAACAGAATATGTATTTTATTTTTTTTTATTTTTAAAAATTTATATGACAGTGGGATGCATTATAATTCTTATTATACATATAGAGCACAATTTTTCATATCTCTGGTTGTATACAAAGTATATTCACAGCAATTCATGTTTTCATACATGTACTTTGGATAATAATGATCATCACATTCCACAATCATTTTCAACCCCCTGTCCCCTCCCTTCCCCTCCAACCCCTCTGCTCTCTCTAGAGTTTTTCTATTCCTCCCATGCTCCCTCTCCCTTCCCCACTATGAATCAGCCTCCTTATATCAGAGAAAATATTTGGCATTTGGTTTTGGGGTATTGGCTAACTTCACTTAGCATTATATTCTCCAACTCCATCCATTTACCTGCAAGTGTCATGATTTCATTCTCTTTTATTGCTGAGTAATATTCCATTGCAGCTTGTTTTATGGGAATCAGCCAGTTTGGAAGAAATGTGTGGTAGGCGGGTCAATTCTGGTTTCTTTGGAAAACTACTTGAAATTATTTTGGCATAACTGAATTTGTACAAATTGCAGAAACAACAGCAGCTGAAAGGAATTATGTATTGATATTACTATGTTAATCATAATATGGAATGTAGTCTGTTAAGTAAGGATGTATTCAGGTAAGCAGGTAGGGCCAGAAGGAATGAATAGCATGAATGATTGTCAGAGACAGTCGGAAACTTGGGACCTGAGACAAATTGTTTCACCTCTCTGGATTTCAATCTTTCTCAGTCTGCAAAATATGACTAACAATACAGCCTTTGAGAATTGTTGCAAAGATTCCAAGACATATGTGCTTAAGGATTGTGCCTGGCATATAGTAGATGGCCCTTTAATAAGAAATATTTTATCAGTAACAGTAAATTTGCTATTATATATTTATAATAAATAGTAAAATTATCTTTATTATTATTTGAATGAGATTTGGAAATATTAAAGAATGTCAAGAAGGAAGAATTAATTCCCATGACCTGCTCAAATTATGCTGGTCTGGTAGAACGCTGTAAACACAGATCATACTGTAATCAAAAAGAGGTACCAATTTATTAAATTGCAAGAAATGCCAACTTCTGTCTGAAGCAATTTCTTTTAAATGAAGCAATTCTTATTGTAGGCTTGTAGAAGGGTGGTTGATAGTTGGGTGTACTGCAAAAAAACACTAGATTTTGAAAACAAAGACCATATTCTGTTCCACTTCTGCCACAGGTTGGTTCTAACATAGGTTGCTGGTCATTTAACCTCTCTAGACCTTGATTTCCTAATAAGGGACAACTTTATTTCCTATAATGGAAATAATGTAATGGAGTTGAAGTACTTTTAATAGTAGTCACTGCCCATAGAAAAATAAAGTTGCCCTATAAGAGTAAGTTAGCTTGAGTATAAGAAGAAAAATGCTGGAAGATTAGACAAGGTAGAATCCAGCATATTATAAGAACCAGGAGCTCGCTGGTCTGAAGGGGGAACTGAGCCCATTGTTAGAGACATGGTGAGAGGGTTTTCAAAGGAAGCCAACTGGTTTGAATTTGAACAGCATTTGGAGAAAGTGCGCCAAAATAAAATGCATGAGGCAAAAGTATTTTTATTGCCTTGGGGACTAAGGGGCTGGGAATGGGGGAAGCCTGGTTGTGTTGCACTTGGTTAATGAAAGAAGTCTGTCCCAGTGTGTGATGGAGTGGGTTTGCATGTGTTTGCCTGCCAGACAGTGGGGGGGAAAGGGGGGGATCAGGGAGGTGGGAAAGTTGGGAAAGCAAACAGAGTAGGATTTCCATGTGCATATGCAAATAATGTGTACAGTTTAAAGACTCTGTCCTTGGAGGTGGGCAGTGAGATGGACAGGGGAGTCATCATTCCCTGCTTTTTAGATTGAAGAGACTGAGAAGCCACCCAGCTAGGAAGTGAGGGAATCTCAAAACTAACTGGAAGCTAACTCTTCTTTCTCCTGTGGCTAATGGCCCTTCCTCCACATAGCCCAACTTCAGTGTGGAGAGATGACCTTGCTCTTGACTCTGCTTAGTTTGAAAAGCACTGAGGGGGCAGGGAGAGGTACAGAGAAAGAGAAAAAAGTATTTTCCTCTGAGAGGGAGGCAGATGGGGAATGAGATGACAAACAGACTTAATGTAGACTCGTCTACAGGCCTCCAAAGCCCTCAAGCCAAAAGAAAAGTGAACATTTGATTTAAAAAAAAATTCAGCAAGCACACTGTGTTGTAACATACAATGTGCTCTATAAAAATTTTAAGAATTAATCATAAAAATTGGAACATAAACCTCAGAAAGCTTATTTTTATTTTAAGTATGGAGAATGAAGCATTCCAGTCTTCAATAAAGGAAAGCCCATTCATTAACGGTGTTGTTGGGGGAAAAAAAAAGGAATTCTATACAATCCATAGCCTTTCAAAGAAAAAAAAAAAGATGTTTCCCTGGATTCTCTTTCAAGAACAACAGAAGGACTTTTGTTACTTTCTCAAAGGGTGCTATCTTTTATGAGCTTATTAAGGCAACCTGCTTTTCTTCCTATGTTTGAGTGAAATTCTGTTGTTTCTCAAAGTGGCTCCTTCAGAGACTGGAGTTGCCAGCCTCTGACAGGTGTTTGCCCCACTCTCCTCACTTAGTCACTATGTGAACCACCTAAGCACTGGGGCTGGGCTGCTCTTAAGTACAGAATTCTGTGAAAACTTAGGTGGTGATTTTGAGATGGGCCCCCCTTTTCTTTGGGAGTTAAGAAAAAGACCTGAATGACTTCATTTATGCATGTGACTCAGGGGAGAAAGGGGAGAAAGAGGAAAAAGGTCACCACCTAGATTAGAGCAAGATGTCATTTTCAATGTTGCCTTCCTAAAGAAGGTGGCTGACAAGTGAGCAAGGATTGAACCTGTTTTCCCTGTGTCTTCCAAATGGGAAGGAGCAAGTGCCCAGGGTGCATCAGCCTGTGGATTTCATAACAGCTGCCTTGCCTCCACTCAGGGCCAAGCATCCCAGAGACAGATGACTGGGTGATTACTGGGCTCTTATCTTACAAAAATGGCCAGCAGAGCCCTAATCCATAACAGTCTCATCTCTGATCAGAGTTGTATGACTCATACCTTCAATAATCAATAGCAATGTCCTTGGGCTGAAATAGATGCAGGGACACCACAAGAGGTGAAATCAGGTGGCAGGCCAACTTGGTAAACAGCTTTCTGTTCTTTACTATTCCTTTGACTGCATTTTCATAGGGCTTACTTCAAGCAGTAGATTGCTGAGAAAGCACTTACCCAGGGAAGGGGCTCAGGAGGGAGCTGGGCTAACTTTGGTAATTGAGGCATAGAGAATGTGACCCCTGCCCTGCAAGTCCTGGATGGAAAGTAGCCATGTTTTTTACAAGGCTACACTGGTCATCACTTATATTAATGAGCATTTATATACCAATTGACAGTTTCTAAGGGAATTAGGGCAAGTATTATTACCCTCATTTACTGACAAAAAGGGAGATTCAGAAAGATGAAATTATCTGTCCAAAGACACAGAAGTTTTTAATGATAAAGTAGGGCCAGAAACTTATTCCTATGACTCCTATTCCTGACAGACTGTATTGCCTTATGATCCCCATGGCCCAAAATACTAAGTAGACACATTTTTTTCCTGTATTGACTTTGATTTTTATTAGGTTTGTTTAATTCAGGAAATCGTATAGCTACCTTTTAAAAACTCTGTTCCTCTTTCATGCCATTCCCAACATAAATTCATTCCCATAAGTGACACTTCTCCCAATATGCCATAATTTGCAACTCTCTATTCCCTTCTTCCCCTGTCCATCTCCCAAATCTCAGTCCCTCATTGGAGGCTATGATCTCCATAACCACACTGAATCAATAGGATACTGAGAGGCAGCAGTAAGGGTCTGTTGAGATCAGAGAAATCAGAATGGTAAAGATTTAAGGTATGGTGCTCTGAGAGGGAAAGTTTCCTAAAGAAGGTGGTAAGCCTCCATCTAGAACTCAAGGAAGCCCAAGAAGGATGCAGGAAGGGGCAGTGGCTTAGCAATATTAGAGGATGGGAAGAGGACAGGTAAGAGATGAGGCAGGTGCTATAAGCAGAAGGGTACTGAAGTAGAATTCAAGAACTCCTCTTCATTATGTGTCTTGAAACAGAACAGTAATTACTTTAAACAGCTTAAGGAGATGGATCACTTCATTATTAAAAGTCACAGACATAAGATTTAAACTTACCCGTAAGATTTCCTCAACACAGCTTGGATCACTGGGAAGGCTTACCTAAAACAAATAGAAAAAAAAAAATAAACATGATCTAGTTATTCTCAAAGAAGCTTACTATATACTAGTATACTCCATAGGAGAAATGATAAGAAACTCTAGCTATCAAGAGTTTTGTTTCCTATTAAATACAAAGCAGTGTGTGTTTGCAAATGCAGAGTTGTATTTTATGAAGCAGTTAAGATCACAACACAAGGTGCAGGAAAAAATTGACTCCTTGTTCTGCCACTGATTTGTGGTAGTACACTGAGCCATCCCCACTCCTAACAGGCTTCTCTGCTTATCTGTCCAAAGAGGGCTCTTGATCATACGATCCATAAGGCCTCTCTGACCCACTGGCAGTTTGTTGAATTTATTCATTATAAAGCTGAAACCTGTATAAAACCCTTCTATGGTTAAATCTAGTCCTCTTTCAAGTAGGTGATCCAACCAAATTCCAAAACACAAAAATTAACTCTTACATGCACTGCACAATTTCCTTGGCACTTAAAGAGACTCTCAGACATACATCCAGTGAATCCCATGAGCCATCTTTACTAATCAACCAAAATTCAAGCCACTAGTGAAAACATATGGAGAACTTACTTCATGTCAAGCATGTGGCCCTTTTCTCCAGGACCCCCATAATCAGTGAAAGCAAGAAATCAAATAAGGCACCAGGTAAGAAGCAGTGCATGATGAGGTACTTGGGAATAGGACAATCACTTGAAGAAGCATCTGTTAATCATCACATCGCACGTTGTCTGTGCAGGTTCTGAGCATTCCTCAAACACCCCTGACCATTGCCTCCATATCTTCATTCTCTCCAAAACTGTAATCTGATAATTTCTACTCCCAGGTTCTAGTAAGGAGGACAGTGAGTCTTTATCATTTACTGCCTTGGGACTTGAATGACCAGTCCTATAAAGAGAGCACTGCCATAGCACCTATATGCCTCAGCCTCCTTGCAAGGACAATTCATTATTCTCAGATTGCAGTATATGCTCAACTTTATTTGGAGAAATGGCACCAGATTTTCTCAATATTAAAAAAAAAGCACATTTAATATGGGTAATAATGAGTGTAATACATTCCATTATTTTCATTTATGTAAAAATAAAGAAAAAATACACATTTAATATATAGCAAATCTTCAGTTAGAATTAAAGCTACTACTGTACATATGTTAATTTTAACCAGCATTTGTTGAATATCTTTGATATATAAGAGTTCCTGCCTCAAGGAGCAGAAAATCACAAATAGGAGAGGAAGGCTGAGACAGAATCACCAATAATAAGGGACTATCCATCCTGATTTACCCAGTGTAATTTCATTTTATACTTGTTATTCCGGTGTAATTATTAATAGTATCTCATCTCGTCCTCAAAAATGTCCCAGTTTGGATGACAAGTTAGTCACACTTCCATTAACAATAATATTGTAGTGCTGAGTAGAAGACACAACATAAGAAAAGGCTCAAAAATTTGGCTGGGCACATATTGCAAAAAACCTTAAATTATAGGTTTCAGATAGTGAACCAGTGGTAATTCAGCTTAACACAGTTCATTCAATTCATTCACTCACTCACTCAACAAGTATTTTTTGAAGACCAAGTACTGTGCACTAGGCTGGTGCTAGGTAGAGATACAATAGGAAACAAAAAGAGACACAGTTTCTCCCTAATGGAGTTTCAGGCTCCACGGGAAGGTGGATCTGAAGAATCACAAAAGTAACCCACCACTGTCATTGCTGTAAGGGCTATAAAAGATCATCTACCAGACAGTGGTTCTGCAAAGTGAAAATTTCTGTCTAAATAAGTAGGGTCATAGCAGAATCTACACTTGTCTCCTAGAGACCCATGATGCAAATCAAAGGCTGTGAGATGCCTGCCTAATTGTTTTAATGCAGCACATCCCCAACTTGCTTGACTCTTTACTTCATGGGTTTTTAGTTTGAAATTTTTGTTTTTCAAAGAGCAATTCTTGCTAGTGCACAGAGCATGTTTGCAGAACATACACATACTGATCTAACTTATTACAGGCTTATAGAATGCAATCAGTAATTCATAACAGCAAATAAAATTTCATTCCATTGCTCAGTGATTTAGCAACTGTATTTTCCAAGACAATCCTATAACTTCTAATAAATACCTTCCCCAAACACAAAGGTCAAGATGATTATAATAAAGGCTTAAATTTTCAATACATTGTTGTATCAGTGTAGGCTGCCTAGGCTACACATACATGTATGACCCAGTCTCATGAAAAGGGCTTTGTTTGACTTTTCCAGGTAAACACATCAATGCTAAGTTTGAAATTAAAAAGGAAGGAATCTCAGCAATATGCACGTATAGTAAGAGTACTTGCCCATGTGTCAAAAGATTTGGGTGGGAATCTTGGCCGTACCACTTGGGAATAGGATTTAATAACTACCCCTCAGAGTTCCAGTTTTCCCAAATGTAAAATAAAATAAAATAATAATAATGTCCATCCCTTTCAATCATGCAGAGATTCTGCAAACATCAAATGAAATAAGTGATATGCATATGCTTTGTAACCTGAAAAACCACACATACTGTGTCAGGTTATTACCTCTTGTCTTATTATACTCCTTACTTCTATTATTAAAGTGTAGTCTTGTCTTTTCAAGCTAAAAGCTGACTTACTCTTGCCAACTGCAAAAATCTCTGTACCTGGAATTACAAACACCCATTTCTATAGGGAAGTAAATGCTGTAAAAAGAGAAGAAGTCATGGACTCTGGGGCTTTGCAGCAAATCTAATAATGATGACCAAAGTCAGTAGCACCCAGGATTGAGAAGAGCTCAACCGACAAGAGCAGTCAAATCAATATGTATCCACACCCAGTGCTCAGATATTTGTCTTTTTAAGAAAATACTGGAACCCAACATCCTCATGAAGTCACTAGTTCTGTGAATTCATCTAGCCCACCCCCACAGCTGGTTTCTCTGCAAGATAACTCCATTGGAGCTGCAAGTGCTTCTTAATTAACCCGCAAACATTTCCTATAAGCCCAGAACAGTGCTGGGCATGGGAGTTTGGTGAGACAAATAACTGAAACTTGGCCTCTGTCTCTAAGAGTTAAATGTCTAGATGGGACAGGAAAACAAACAATTAGAGACCCACTGGGACATACATTGTAAGGTAGTCATGACAAGGGTAATAGGATCCTATTCATTTGCAGTCCGCCTATTCATCAGTTCTCCCATTTACTTCTTTAGACAACAAATCCTGATTGAACTCACACTGTGCTCAGGATGGTGCCAAGGGGGAGGATTTAAAGACACTGGAGACAACGTCACTTCTGCCTTCAAGACTCCACGCAAATGGGGGAGACAACATGTACAGGGGAGACAGACAATATCAAACAGGGGGTCCCATTTAGGTGCCAGGGAAAGGGTACCTACCGGGTTCACGGACAGAGCCAGGTCGGACAGAAGCTCCCAGCCGCCGAGGTCCCCACTGTAGTCCTCACTCCATATGGGAGCAAGAGGCCAAGGATTCGACATGACTGAGAAGTGGTGGGGCCACCTGGGGCCACTTCAGTCTCTGAGCCCCCTGCGGCGCCGCGCCGGGGGTCACTCTGCACACTGGAAGAAAGCTGCACTAAGGCTGGGGCTGGATTTTGTCCTCTTGCACTCTTTGTTTCCCTCTCGGGCACAAACACCCACACCTCTCCTAGTAATTCTGGAGAAAGCACTCCCACAGGTGTGAAAGAAAGAGACTAAAGAAGAGAACTAGTGGTGGCACTGGGATTAGAACTGCTGCCCGTTGAGTTGCCAAGCTGCTGCTTGATTCTGGAGCCACCTTCTCCTCTCTTTAAATCCACTCTTGAGTATTCAGATAGTCCACAAAGCACAAGTTAGCCACTCAGAGCCGCAGCGTCCTTTCACATTCCCCCTCTCCGCCCCCTCCTCCTAGAGCAGAAAGCAAGCTGCACAACGACAACGCACAGGGAAGGCTGTGCTCTCACTCCTGGCCCCAGACGACCCTCTTGTGCTGGGCAGGGATGTGGTCCTCTGAGGGCCAGGGAAGGGAGGCGCATGTCTCAGGCAGGTGGTGAGTTGACTGAGAGCGCTCACAAGTGCCTACCCTCTCTGCATCTGACAGTGCAGGCTGCCACCCCATGTAGCCACAGAGACCACGCACGGATCATCTGCCTGGTGATAAATACATATCTTATAAAATAATCAGGGTACCTTTAAATCATCAAATATTCAATTAACTGTAGCAACAATAAATGAATTGCATAGGATGTTTTAATCATTCTGGAATTAATCAGTTTGGAGCATACTTCTTGGCGATTAGGGTAATACAAGATATCAAAAATACCCTGATTGTGGCATTGAGAGAAATAAGCAGCAGCTAGCACTAATAGAAAACATGGAGATTAACGTAAAACATTAAAAGAATAATGATCATCACATGGTTAACCCAGAGGAGCTCCACACATGCCTTTAAAAACATTATTACTAAGGGATTGCAAGGAAAGACAGGTCATTGTTTCTTCTAAAAACATCCTGAGGTTGTCCCACAATATCTGGCAATTAAAGCCCACTATTTCACCTTGACAAAGACTTCTCAAAGTACAATCTAAAAATTGCAAGTTTAATCACAAATTAAATAATCAGGCCTAGTTAAACAATATCCACAACTGACACTGATAGCAGCTTCCAAATAAATTATGCTTTATTTTCATTAACAAATCACCACATTTATTCCCATGATTGATTTATGGGACACAGCGCTCCCTGACATGGTAATACTAATAAAATGAAAACTCATCTTAAGATATTGTACTACCAAATGAATCTTTAGGCTTCTTAAAAATTTTAACTTCCGTAATTGGTCATTTGTAAAAAATAGAGGACAGCACTCTCTGAAGTTGTTATTTGCATGCATTTTGAAATCCCTTTAAGTCCCCATCCAGGAAGTCCCAAGTTTCCAAAATAAATTTGGAAAACTACAACCTCAGTTCACATGAGGATCTGTCCTTCCCTTG